TTTTATGAATATATTTATAGACACTATTGTAAGAATTGTTTTCATTTTGTAATTTTTGATTAAAATAATTTATAAACTTAAAATTCTATATTAATTTGCAGTGATCAGGTTATATTGTTATTAAATTAAAACTATTTTTACTAATTATAAATGGAAAAGCTCACTACAATTCAATAATGCCCAGTACTTGAAAAAGTTAGATTGCTTAAAATATTTTAAATTTTTAAGATTACTTATAAAGTTACTAAAGATTATATAAAGTGTTTGTTATATTCATCAGCTAATTTCTTTCAGTTCTGTCCCTTTTAAATTTCTCAAACAGATTATCAAAATCACTGATCAGAACCCCACTGTGTTAAAAAAAAAAAAAAAAAAAAAAGCTTTTCTGCAATATTTTAAATTAAAAGATAATATTTGTTTTAATTCGGATTAAACTTTAAATCAGTTAATTTTCCTCAAATAAAGTTTATTTTATTTTTGAAAGATTTTTATGTAAATATTAACGATTTATTTTTGTGTTGACAGATCTGTTAAAATGGACAAATTTATAGATTCAAGTAGAAAAAACATGCCAATCAATTTAAATTTGGTTTGAAATACACAAAGTTATTTTGCTTATTGGAAATATTAAAATTAAAGCTTTAATGAAAGATTTATCATTTTTTAAAAATGTATTTTAATATTGGGTATTGATTTTTTTTTGGGGGGGGGAGGTACCTATATTATTACTTTAGGTACCTCCACAGATTTGCCAATATGCAAAACTTAAAGTGAATTTTTAAAAATGAAAAATTTTTCTTGAAGTTTTTATTTTAGTTTTAATTTCAAGTTAATAGATTAAATTTAATAATACTTTGCTCTATTTCAAAACTAATTAACTTTAATTCAAAGCTGTTGTGTTTTTTGTGCTAAAACATCTGATTTTAACACCATTTTTAGCCCACATTTATAGTCTTTATTAAAATCTTCCAAAAATAAAAATATATTTTTCTAAAACTTTATTTGAAGAATATTAGCCAATTTAAAGTATGATTAATATGATTTGAAACAAATATTTACTTTAAAGTTTAAAATATCAACTGCATTCTTTAACACAGTGATAGCTGTTTATTTAAAATAGGTTATATTCATGAGATTCAAAAAAAAAAAAAAAAAAATAACATACCATGAATAAAAAAGGCCTTAAACTTGATGAAAATTTTTTTATCGTCTAAATGTTAATGTTATTATCAAGAGAAAAGATCAAAGTATTTTTTTAATTTTTTTTTTTTTTTATAATTTCTAGCATGTCCAAAATTTTCGTTAAAAATCTTGAATTTTTTGAATCAGCAAAATTGACAGAAAATCAATCGTCAATCGTTTTGTTTACAAAAGTGAAAGGCTCCATTTAAAATTCATTTAATAAATCAATTATGATTTAAAAAAAAATTAATTTAAGAAAATTAGAAATTATAAAGTTTATCTAATATATTTTGAAACAAAGATTACTTACTTTCTGCACTGAAAAAAATGTTCTTTCAAATGAGAGAAAGTCGGTCTTCTAAACAGCGGTGTTGATTGACGAGTGACATGTGTGTGTTGATTGACGAGTGACATCTTACGGGAGGAAAGTTATAGTACGGAAGGTCATAAGTGACAGTTTACTTTTACGTGAACAACTTATTTACCTTGTTATTTTTAAGTAGGCATAGCATGATAAAAACTGCCTTAAACTTGATGAAAGCAGAATTTTATCGCCAAAATGTTTATGTTACTATTAAGGGGAAAAAACAAAGTAATTTTTAATTATTTTTAAAAACTTTTCTGTCTTTAAACTTTCAGAAACTATTCAGGAATGATAGAAATTATTATAAATGTTTTTAACAACTTTAATGTAAAAATAATAAAATAATTTATGAAATAACAATTCTTTTAAAAATTCATTTTTCATCGAAAAAGTTTTTTGCCTTCAGATAATATTATGCATATTCATAAAAGCAACTAAAAGCATTTAAAATTAAATAGTATCTTTGTTTCATTGCGTTTTATGTTACAATTCAAAGCTGATTTTAGGTAGATGAGGCTGGATTTTTAAAAAACAAAACGTGATTTACTTTCCTCAAAGCCTTGTGTTTTTAACTAATATAATGACACGTGTGCTTCGAAATTGAATTTTTAGAGTTTTCATTAAATTATTAATTGGGGCATGTAATATATTTTTATAATGACCTAAAAAACATAATTTCCATCATTCCTGAATAGTTTCTGAAAATTTAATTAAAATCTGACCATTATTTCTTTTTTTGCAAGATTTTCAAAATTAATGTCTGTCAAACAAAAAATGCACAAAAAATTTGCCATTTACTAGAGTTCTGGTGATGACGAGAAACAAGGTTTTTCAATCGAAAGTTAGAATGTTCTAACAAAAACAGAAATTTTTTTAAAAAATAATTAAAAATTACTTTGTTCTTTCCTCTTAACAAACAATTAGACGATAAAATTTTGTTTTCGTCAAGTATGGTGTCTTTTTCATCAGACTATGCTTTTTTTTTTTTAGCGATCTCATGGTTATAGCTAATTTAAAATGTTGCCAGCTTGATGACAGATGAATGTTAATTTCTTTTTCTATGGGGGCTTCATCTATAAAAAAAATAATTGAAGAATATAATGTGAGCGCCTTTTTTTATATAGTTTTTAAGTATTCAGTAATTAAAGATTCAGGAAAATATTCTCCATAATGTAAGGTTTTATTGTATTTTAGATATTTTGATTTTAAACTTACTATACATTTTCTGATAATGTTGTGTATGGACGTTTATATACACAAAAAAAAAATTTTTTGAAAGATATTGTAATTGATCAATTGTATTGTGTGGTAGTTTTTATATATAAGAATTTTTTTTACCAAAATTTTCTTAAGAAAATTTCTAAAATAATTTCAATCATTTGTGAATAAGTTTTGAAAGTTTCCTTAAGATCCAACAATTACTTCATTTTTGCAAGAACTTTTAAATTAGTGTCCTTTACCGGAGAAAAAACAAAACAAAAAACATTTTCTACTAAATCTTTGAAACGCTGACGCAAGAAATACAAGATTTTTTCGAACGTGCTAAAATATTTAATTAAATAATCAAAATAAATAAGTCTTTCCTCTTAGCGTTAAAATCTTTGTTAATTAAAGATTGTTTGACGCTAAAACTTTGTTTTTATTAATTTTGTTTGACTTTTTAAGGCATTTTTTCATCATGGTATGCTCTTTTTTCAGTGAATTAGGGAAGCTTTGTTTAAAAAATATTTAAAAAATAAGTCGCATAGAATCGTATATATCCGCTTGTTCTTTAAATCAATGAAATTTTAAATCTTGTTTAGATAAAAGTAAAACAAAAAATATCCATTTACTCTTTCTTTAGTCTTTATTTTATAAAAAGTAAATATTTATAATAGGTCAACGTCAATCGTACTCGGACATCAATCACGTAAGCTTGGTAAATAAAAAACAAATAGAGATAGCTCTTTAAAAAGCTAAGGATCGATAAAATTTACGAACAGGACTCACCTTCTAAAATTGATCAGGAAAAAAAAAAAAAAAAAAAAAAAATCAGTATTTTTCGATTCTAACAAACGGGTGCTAAACTGGAAAAAAATATTCACCCTCCCATAAATGTTTCGTTTTTTTATTTAACGAGTGGGCCAGTCAATAAGTAATGCCAAAATTTGCCCACATCAAACACTTGCGAAATTTAAAAAAAAAAAGACTTCGCTTATAAACAGAAATCCTCCAGACCAGATGAACCGAAGATGCTCATAAAACCTGAAACAAAGTTATTATATATATAAGACAAAATCTCAATGGTTGAATTCTGTCAGAAAAACCTAAATTTTCGCTCACTCAGAATATTTGTGGAATAATTCAAGACATAATAAAATATCTTAAGGCATAGGGTTTCAAATTTTAAATACTAAGGAACTAAAAATGATTTTTTAAGATAGGGATAACTGTGCTTAGCTTGATAGTCAAGGCCGTTGTGCTTAGGGCTGTTAAAATTTAAAAAAAAAAAAAACAAAAAAAAAACGCATTTTTAATGACAACTTCTTTATTTTTAACGTTTGAAAAAAATAAATTAACACACCGTTTTCATATACAAAAAAAGTAAATGCGGTTTATTCTTTGACTTCATAAATTTAATTTTAGTCTTTTCTTTTATAAATAAATATTCATTTAAAAAAAAATCTCACATCACACGAACAAGACATTTTCTCTTTTCGAAGTTATGCAATTAAAACGAAAAATAATATTCGAAATGTAATAATTTATTTAAAATTAGATTTTCGTAGATAAGAATCAAATTTAATTCAACATTTACGACAATTTTAGAATTTAATTTTTCAGAACTTGATGAATAATAAAAGTAAAAATACACATTACTTGCACCATAAAACGAAAAAATACCGTAAGAAGTTAATTGTTATAGAAACACCATTTGAAGCGCTAAAATCAACTATATATCCAAGAAGTTTTACAGATGTTTCGATAACTGGAAAATCGTCAGGATTTTTTTTATCTGAATTGTCAAAGTGAAAAAGCAACAAAGGTAACAACCTTGTTGCTTTTTCAATTTGACTCACTAAATTCTAGTTAAATTAGAAAGCAATACAAAGCAGAGAAAGTAATTTTGTAAATTATTGACAGTCTACGCCTAAATTAACTGGAATAAATTGTCAGAAAAAGCTTAAAAAAACTATATCTTAAAAGATAGAAAATTGCAGTAATGAGTTAACTTTCCAGTAGGGTTAAGTAAGAAAATGTTTTACATTTATTTATCGATCCCTTTAAATTTTAGAGAATAGTACCAAAGCGTGGACATTAACAAAATTTATATTCAAATCAGACTGAAAACATTTTTAGTCTCAATGTAGTTTTTTTTTTTTTTTTTTTCAGGGACTGATTCATTCATAAAAAGGATCCTTAATGTTGAAAAAGAAGATGATAAAAAAGAGGCAAGAATGAAAAAATAACTTACATGACGTTCACCTTATTAGGGGATTAAACTGAATGAACAAATAAAAGATGCATCTACAAGAGAAACACTGCAGATAAATATAGTAATAAAAAAAAAAGTTCGGGTTCTCAATACAACAAACTAGACAGCTGCAACAACAATTTTATACATAGGCACCCACGCTTACGTTTTCGCGCCAAACACAAAGGAGGGGGAGGAGAGACAAGACTAATAACAACGGTGACCGATCAGCATTTGTCCCTTAAAAAAAATTACAAATAGCAAGCGAATTCTTTATATTGTGACACTACAACTATAATTTATTGTAATTGTAAGTAATGAAATATTTTTAATTAAATTTTATTTGAAACGGATTTAAGGTGCTCTTTACACTTAAAAAATAATATAAAAGTTTTAAGAAATGGAAATTTGCATAAAAAAATCAATAAAATTTTGAAATTATTTCAATACTTTTTTGTGTTGAGCTGTTATTTGTTCGGCAATAAATATTCATCCTCATTTCAAACTAACTCCTACTTTAATAACCTGATTCAGCTTGTTGATTGCTTTTGAATTTTCAGAGGTTTTGTTTTGAGAGATATACGTTCTTACTACTGCTGAATTAGTTAATTTACATTTTCTCTTAGTCTTACGGATTTTTTTTTTTTTACTAATGTTGACTCTATACAAGGCCCAAGAGTCACACAAGTTAAGTTTGAATGAGGTGTGTGATAAGAATGTATGGGTTAGCCTATTTGGCCCTGCCAAAAGCACCAGTTAGATGGTGTTTGTTATTTAAGTCCATGAAAAGGTGAGCATATTCTCTGTCTTTCTCTTTTTCCTCCTGCTTTCAGATGTAGTCAGACGTAGATAAAGAACTCTGCCGCTAAGGCGCATTTGCTTCCTTGGTCCACTGTTAACTGAACTCTCACACATGCACATGTGTAACACACTGACACACACAAGCACTTTTTTTTTTTCTTATAATTAGTTTTCTTTTCATTTCAGTTATATACAGATGCATTTACTTTTGTTAATGCATGCATATAATTGCTGTTTGTTTTAAATTCATTGTTTTGTTATTATTTTTACCTAAACTCACAGGAGTTCACTAATATTGTTTGTGGGACAAATGTTCCAGGAGCCCATAAATATTTACTATACAACATACACACACTTTTAATATTCTGTTATCACTTTTCTTTCAATGTCAATTTTTGTGCAAATTCTGTGCAAAAAGTGGATCACAGAGCCTTGATATTTTTCTCACTTCTCATTGGTCAGTTAATATTTAAATCGTTCTCAACTATGTCCAAATAACATTGACCTAGTTTCTGACCTGAACAAAAATACAATTCCACAAAATCTGTCTATGCCTTCCAGAGCCGATCACGTGATGTTTATTATAAATACTTTGACACAATCCAATCGATTGTGAACTGGGGCAAGATTTGGCTGGTCAACTTCAACGCTTCGAAGACTAAACTGCTCTCTATTAATCACCACAGAGAGCCTTCCCTTCCTCCATTATAATGTCTGACGCTCAACTTCCCCGAGAGCAACTCTCTAGTGCCTCGGTCTCACGTTGACTGCTGACCTGAGATGGAATAAATACATCGAGTCAATTGCCCCGTCCACTGCGAGGAAAGTCGGCCCCTGAGCCGCAGTGCTAGGAAGTTTTTTCCCCTGAGTCGATCCTCCAGATATACAAATCCACAATTCGCCCTTGCATGGAGTATTGCTGCCATATATGGTCTGGCGCCCCTTCTGTTTGCCTCAGGGTTCTTGATAGGCTCCAGAGGCGGATATGTAATATGGTTGGCCCTACCCTGGCGTCTCGTCTACAGTCACTTTCTCACAGACGCACCGTCGCCTCCCTCTGTCTGTTCTACAAATACTTTCATGGAAATTGCTCCGAGGAACTGCATTCGCTGGTTCCCAAACTTCATGAGTTCAAAAGCCCTACGAGGAGGCTGGCATCCCGCTCTCACCCCTTCACTGTCGAAACTCATAAATGTAGCCGTCTCTACTACTCTAATAGCTTCATGTCTCGCACCTCTCGCCTGTGGAACTCTCTTCCCTTCTCCTGTTTCCCTGAGAGTTATAATCTCCAGCTATTCAAGTGTAATGTCAATCGACATCTCCAGTTGCCTTAATCTATCTACTACCCTCAACCTTTCTTCTATCACTCCTATCTGATCTTCCTATTTTCTGTAACCCCTTGCGTCCTAGTGGCTCCCCGCCTTGCTTGGGGTGAAATGCTTAAATAAAAAAAAAAAAAAAAAAAAAACAAGCTCATTCTTCCTCTTAATTTCTCTTGCCTACCAACAATGTAGGACTTTAAGAAAAAGTGTTTTGACCCACTTCAGGAAAACACTATGAAATGCCATCACACATGCACACATACACATACATACAGAATATTACAGAACATTACTAGCAACAGAAACTGGAAAATTACAAACATTCATTCCTTCAGTTCTTCTGAAGCTAAAAGTTTATCAACATATTCTCAGTTTTACAGAATTCTTTCAACTCTCTCATGCTGAACATTTTGAGTGGCAAGTTCATTCAACTTTCTATGAGCTCAGGTAAAAATATTTCCTTAGTGAAGACTTTAATTCCAGTCAAAGGGACGTAACTCCTATTAATTATGCTTGTATATCATTGAGATACATAAACATATTGTTTGTTCTTGTTATAAAAACAATTTTTGTGTTCTTTCTTATTGTTTCATATTTTGTCGTATTTTGTGTAAATATAAATTCGAGAGGTCACATCAAAAAACAGGTTTCGACACACTCATATCAAAAGTGCTGAATCCCACAACAAAGTGGTGACTTATTTTTACCCAAACAACAAATGCAAGAAGTAAGAAATGAAAATTATGAGCATATGGAGGATAGATAAAGATTGGTCTGAGACCTGAAAAGTTTAAGATTGTAATGTTCAGGAAGGCCTCCATACAGTAGTCTGTTCAACAAAGTAACAGTTCTTAGGAAGAAACTTTTTGAGTGAAAGACTTCTTACCAATGGAATATGTAGAAATGAGGGCGATTCAAGGTGGATCTTGGCTGTTAAGGTCTGAGCTAGTGGAACTAAGTAATGTAGCTCATTTGAATGTTTACTGTGGAAGTAATAACAGAATAGCGATAAGTTTACAAAGTTGTGTTTATGAGAAAGGAGATGAAGAGTGAAATATGTCAATCTTACAAGGTCATGTAGATAATTTTGAAATTTGTTAAGACTGGAAAGAGAGGAATGGGCAACTCCAGCCCAGATGTGGTAGCAATGCTTTAGTTTGGGTCTAATTTGACTCTTGTAAAAAATGTATGGTAGAAGTAATCAGGTATTTTCTGAAGTGTTACTAGCAGCTGACCATTTTTCCAGCATCTTTAGGGATAAGTTCACTTGAGGTCTAGGATGAACTTGAGTCCCAATAGACATTCAAAGCAAGGAGCCTCATTGAGAGTACAACTATTCATCATAACTGGAAAAAATCCAGGGTCAATTTGGTGATAATGAAATGTTAATAGCTTGGTTTTTGAGGTATTGAATAAATCAGTTTTTCCAATGTTGAGATGTTAAACCTAGGTCAGAGGAGAGATCAAACTACCAGGCTCTGATCATCTAGATTTTTGAAGGTGTATTCAAACTGTGGTATTGTTATAAAATAAAATAAGACATATCTCAGCTGATTTACAGGCAAATACTCAAGAGCAAGAGCCGGATGTGAATGGGACAAAGCCCCGTCACAAAATGACCATTATCTTCGTTTACAAATGTTACCGACACACGTGTTCCAGTCGAAAAATAAAATAATATTTGAAGTGTTCTATTTTTCGTCCAATAAAAATGTTTCCCTCCTAATTATACTCACTTCGTTTTTCGAGCCTGTTAAGCCATAAAAAAACGCTATAAAAGAGGTCACACGGAAGTTCAACGTCAGTCCACAGGTGCCCAGGATAGAGACCTGCCACGTTCAGCTGCTGACAGCAGGGGAGCGTCAACCACCGTCAACATGTATGAACTACTATGAGAGATTGACCTAGATCCAAAGCCGGCTTATGAACTTTACCACAAGAGATGAAATATTGCAAATCTATTGCAACTCTAATGCAATTTCCATGGAAAATGTTCTAGCAAACTATGTTCCTTAGTTCTAGCAGTTCAGGCTTTACAGCTAGAATCTGCCATGTTGTGTATACAGGGTTGATTCATCCTCATTCCCTTAATATTCCATTGGTTAAAAGGTAATTCCATTCAGACAGCTTCTCTCTAAGAACCATTAATTGGGGAAAAGTAACAGTTTTTAGAGAGAAGCTGTCTGAATGGAGTCTGCTGAGAATCTTGGGTCAACCATTATCTATCTGCTGTATTCTCTTAATATGTACTTCAAACCTCCTCCTCTTACATCCATTCAACAACCTTATTCAGTAAAACCCTATTTTGAGTGACCCTCTGGCTTTGTATTGTGTAATAATAAAAAAAATAAGAACAATCAAGATAGGAAATGATGAAATTAGAAATGTGAGGAAATTCAAATTTTGGGCATCATACCTCACACCAGAAGGAGACAGTGTAGTAGAAATCAAGAACAGATTAGGAAGAATCATAAATGTGATAACAAGCTTCATGGAATTGTGGAACTCAAAAGACCTTAAAAATGAAGGAGAAACTTGTGAAGACCTTGCTTTGGAGTATTGTATGGTACATGTGCAAGAGCTGGACATTAAGAAAAAAAGATAAGATGATCATTAATGTTTTTGTGTTATAGTTGTAGAGAATAGTTCTGAGAGTTAGTTGGATATAGAAGGAGACAAACAAGTGAGTAAGGAAACTGCAAGAAGAGAGGTAAGGACTTTTTAAGATGAACAAATAAAAGAAACTGAGAAAATACAGAGGACAGGTTGGTTCTTGCAACCATTGTAAATTTTTATGAAAGGACAAAGAAGCAGAGATGATTTTTTCCCAAGGGGATTGATTAGCAAAGAATTTAGTTTTACATTTTGCTCTATAATTACTTATAATATCTTGGATATTACAGTTATTATTGATCACTACCAGAAAGTGAACAAGAAAAGCTTTTTTTGTTCAGATATGAAATTTGTTTTTAAACATTAAATGGCATCCAGGAAGAATGTTATTAATCAGTCAACAGAACTGATCTT